TAATCGAAATCGGATGAAAACTATGGAAACGCATAAACCACATCCGATCACACGCACACACAGACAGAGAATTGAGAATTCTAGATATAGATCAATTTGATGTCATAAAATAATTAATTGCACTAAATCAGGATCTTAATTATTTTCAGAACATTTCTTAAACCAAAGAAAATAAAGTATAAAACATCTTGGAAAACTGATAAAGGCTTAATGAGTTGATACTGTTAATTGATTGCCTTCACTCAGCTTTCTTTCAGTTATCAATGTCATAACAAAATTCTAGGTGCCCGCAAACATTTTACATAATTATTTTTAACCTTTCTAACTTATAAGGATCTAATTCAGAATTGTTGAATTATTTCCTATTTGATCTTCCATACAAAAAATAATTTAACATTTGTAAAACGAAAATATAAATTAAAATTCTTTAACACTCGAAAATGGCATTAAATTTTACATTTTTCGATTCTTCGGACACATCTTTAGCTAATAAAGAACAGATACTTTCGTCATCAGCAAGAATTTCAAAATTGTGCTGAAATATTACAAATAAATCTTTCAAAAGTAAATATTCATTGTATTTTTCCCCTATTAAATCTGAAAGAAAATAATGTTTTATTAAATAATACGATTGCCAACTCCCCAGAAAAAATACAAATTTTAGGGTTTTATTGAAGTATATCTTTAATATTTCTCGAAAAATTTTCAAGATGTGCATGGTTGATATTGATTTCACTAAATAATATTTTCAGGGATTGTTCTTTATAAATCTATAAAAATTGAATTAAGTTTTAAATTCTAAAACTGTTCACGAGGCATCGAAGCGGGGCGTGTGATTGCACCCCCCCAAAAAAAATTTCCACAATATTAAGAAAGGCTTATCTATTCAGTATACAAACCACTCATTAATAAATAAGCAATGAAAAGTTCATTTTTCCTTGATGTTTAGTAAAATTTTAAAAACAGTTGGGAACGTTGTTTTTTTTCTTGTTTTTCTTTCGAAAAAAAAAACCGCCTATATTTTGCTTATACTTTGATAAAGACATTTTTGTATGTTTTATTTTTAAGAAACTATTTTAAATATTTGCAAGCGTTGTATAACAAAAATAGCCTTACTTTAAGAAAATATTAAAACAACCATTGTTTATCTAAAATCTTTTAATCTTATAAAAATTAGTGTGTTGGGTACAGTTCGGTAAGTGTTTAAAAATGACATTTTTTGGTTAGTTGGTTTGTTTAGCGGCACATCAACACCTTATGGGTTATTTAATGGCAAAATTTAATTTTCTTGGGCGATTTAATAATTTCCTTTACAAAAATGCATTGCTGGTATTTTTACTATAAAAATATATTTTTATACATTCATAGTGTTTTGACCCTAGTTTGGGGGGTGCTCATAGCTTGGATCCTAACAGGTGCCACCACCCTTGAGTCAGGGGGGATCTGAGAGCAACAGCAATTAAGAGGTAGTTCCACGCTCCTCGAAGCTTCCCGACCAGAGACCTTGCTGCTGGATGTGGTTTATCGTCATACTCAGAACGACTTAGCATATGTAAATAAAAATCAAGTATAGATAACTCTTTAAAAGTCAGGGATCGATTTTCTGTCGTATGAACAAGACTCGCCTTGTAGAATGATAAAAAAGATAAATATTTTTCGATTGAGACAAATATTGTAGTTTCAAGAATGTCTAACAGAATGCTAATCTACAATAATTTTTAGCGTCCTGAGTATGACGATAAAATTAGATCAAGGCCTTTGATCAGGAAGTTTTGAGGAGCATGTAACGACCTCTTAATTGTTGGTATTCCCAGGTCCACAATGACACGGGGTGGTAGCACCTGTCAGGGTCCCAACCAGTTGCAAATAGTTACCCCCCCCAAAAAAAAGCGGTCAAAACACTATGAAAGTATAAAAACAGTTTATAATACCATCTATACGTTTTTGGAAAAATTAATACCAGCAGTACATTTTTGAAAAAGAAAAATATTTCCAGAAATATATTTTTGGAAAAAAAAAAATATTAGCAGCAACACATTTTCGAAAAAAAATATTACCAGTAATACATTTTTGGGTAAAAATATTACCAGCAATACATTTTGGAAAAAATATTACCAGCAATAAAAAAAAAAAAAAAACATTGGACTAGTTAAACACAATAATAAAACCGGATCCTATGATAACCAAATATATCCTCTTGATTTTAATTCAAAGTCTATTTTGATGTCCGGTTATTTTAACCGTAATGGCGGTCGCCATCTTAAATATATTGGATATGCAGATGATACAATTTTGATAACAGACAAAGAAAGGTAAATACAAAAAGATAGTAAAGGAAAGCAAGAAGAAAAGACTAAGCATCTATTGTAAGAAGACATACTGTATGGTTGTTAGTAAAAAGAAGAGTCCAACATGCGAATTACAAATTGGAGATACCAAAATCAAGTACAAAAATTTAAATAACTGGGAAGTGTTTTAACAGAGGACGAAAAATGTGACACCGAAATTCGAAGGCGCATTGGAATAGCGAAAGATGCCTTTCAAAAGCTAAGCATGGTATTAAGAAATAAGAAAATTTCAGTAGAAACAAAAAAAGAGTACTGAAGTATCATGTAATGTCAATCATCCTATATGAAAGTAAATGCTGGCCAATTTCCTCACGGATGAATAAGTGCTTTACAGAAAATGGAAACAAAAAGGACATATATTTAGAATCAGAAAGAGACAGTTGAAATTTCTAGACCATAATGAGGAAAGAGGGCTTAGAAAATGCGACACTCACAAGACATATTAAAGGCAAGAGGGACAGAGTTAAACAGCGTATAACCTACCTAATAAGCTTGTGTAAATGTTTAGCAGAACAGGGATTAGGAGAAAATGCAAAAAGACAACATTTACTAAGAGCTATAAAGAAGAAGAAATTATGGAGAACCACGATCGCCATTATCTTGAAGGGACACAGTACATAGAAGAAGAAGAAGAAGAAGAAGAAGAAGAAGAAGAAGAAGAAGAAGAAGAAGAAGATTACTTCTTGAAAAATAATAAAATCAAAGCGAAAACAGTTATGGAACCCAGAAATATTACCTTTTCGTGATACTTCATGTGACGCATCTCTTCAAGACATAAGCGAGTATAACTCTCCATAACTCTCCATATCTTGTGTGGCTTTTAGCAGTTTTCTCCGTTTGCTAAGGCCTCCGCCCACGCGTGTCGCCTATCCATTCTGGGGTGAATAAATCTAAACTCACACAAAAATCGAAGCGGGTATTGAATTTATTGAAAATATCTTCTCTCAAATATTTTTCGTCCTAAATTTTCAGTTTTGCTAGGGTTTCATTGTCAGTTTATTTTATGTCTAATTCTTGTACAGGGCAAGAAGTGTGAATCGAACTCACTACGAAGAATCCATCAAAGTATTCTCAGTATTGCCCCAGGCCGAAAATGTTAGGTTTTACAATATTTCAAGTTTTGTTGAGTAATTTAATTTAATCTGTCAAATTTTATATGGGGCACCCAGTTAGAATCGATCTCTTTAATAACACTCCACCAAACTATCCACGCTAAGTATTACACCTTGCCAAAAATACCCGATTTGTTGTTTTTACAATGAATTATTTAATGCCAAATTTTTAAATTGGGCATGTTTTGGTAATGGCTGCTCCAATTACTGCTAAGCAGTAATTACTTATTTAAGACGTTACATAATGATAAAGACAATCTCATTTGTCTTTGTTCGTTTCGAAAGAAAGATGGAAACTTCTTGGTCATATTTTGCAAATGGATCCAAATGACCAGTGAAAAAAGACATGGAGTTTTATTTTGAAAGAATGACTCCAAAATTTTCAGGGGTCATCAAAGAACCCCCATAGTCACAACGCTGAACAGAGACATTAAAAAACAAGGCAGTAAGATCCGACTTATCCTTTGGAGAAAGTTTCAATCAAGGAAGGTCTGCAACGAATCCGCAAACTTGCATAGAGGACAGAGAAGGCTAGCGAAATATTATCGAATCAGTATACAATGGCACTGAAGATGAGAGAATATGTTAATTCATGACCTCAAATCGATACAGTTTTGATGATGATGATGATGATGATGATGATGATGATATTTTTATATGGGGCACCCCGTGAGAATCAATCTCTTTACTAATGCTCCACCAAACTATCCACACTAAGTATTACCCCTTGCCAAAAATACCCGATTTGTTGTTTTTACGATGAATTATTTAATGCCAATTTTTAAATAGGGTATGTTTTTGGCGAAGTAGGTAATGGCTGCTCCAGTTACTAAGCAGTAATTACTTATTTAAGACGTTACATACTGAGAAAGACAATTTCCTTTGTATATGTTCATTTTGAAAACAAGATGGAAATTTCTTGGACATATTTTGTAAATGGATCAAAAATTCCCAGCGAAAAAAGCCATTGGAGTCTTATTTTGAAAAGACTGACTTCACAAAGTTCAGTGTTCATCCAAGAACCACCATAGTCACAATGCTGAACCGAAACATTCAAAGAACAAGGCAGTAAGATCCGACACATCCTTTGGAGAAATTTACAATGAAACAAGATCTGCAATGAATCTGCAATATGCAGAGGGCATAGAAAGCTGGCGAAATATTGTGGAATCAGTATACAATGTCATTGAAGATGAGAGAATATTTTAATTCATGACCTCAAATCAAAATAGTTTTGATGATGATAATGATGATGAAGAAGCAGTGAGGATTGAAATTGCAACCCCGTAGGAATAAACAACCTCACAAACCCCGCTGAAAATTACCACCTACTTAAGCGCCAATCCTTTTAGGAGTTTCCTTCATTTTGTTTTGTTTTTTTGTTTTGTTTTTTTTTTTGTAAATTACTCTTTAATAGTTGTTCTTCATTGTTTAATAGTTGTTCTTCTCTTATGCATTTTTCTAAACTCTTTTTGTACGCCATTATGAATCTTTGTTTTTTGGGGGTTTTTTTTGCTTTAATCATTTTTTTATTCTTAAGTTTTCGCCATTTTCTATTTTTCGTTCCCGATTTTTGTTTTCTTCTTCTTTTTCAATCTACCGACTTATTTTTCATTCATCCACCGCTTCCTTTAAACGATTTAATTTTTTTTATTTTCCAGTTTTCTATCTTTCTTTCTCGTTATCCTTCTTTCTTTCTTTCTTTTTTCTCGTAACTTTTTCTTTTTTCTTATTCTTTCTTTCAATGTCTTTTTCCTTTTCCTTTACTTCGCCCTATTACTTTTCTTTCGTTTTTTATTTCTTATATTACGCCATATTGTATGACTTTCGTTCTTTATTTTTTTCTTTCTTTTCATTTTCTCTTCTTTCTTCATTTTATTAATCAATCGTTATTTTTAGTGGTTATTCATATTTGAGTAGACGCCCCCTTTATTTATTAAAAGGCTTATTTATTTATTTTCGTCAACCGGCCTGACTATTCGAGAAATCTTAATATGCACTTTCTTTCTTTTTACACATTTTTTTCTTTTTTTCTTTCTCATGAGGTTTTCTTTTTTCTTATTCTTTCTTTCTTTCTTTCTTTCTTTCTTTCTTTCTTTCTTTCTTTCTCCTATTTTTCTTTTATTACGTCCCATTGTCTTTCTTTCTTTCTTTATTTCTTTCTCGTAGACTTTTCCTTTTCTTTTACTATGTCCAATTACTTTTCTTTATTTCTTTTTCTCCGTAATATATATTTTATACAATCTTAATAAATATTTAATAGTAATTTTGTTTGTTATAAAAAAGATGTGTTGAAAAATCGTCTGCTCTCAACCCAATGACCAAAATATCTTCTGGAGGCCCTTCTAGGTGGGGCAGAGAACATCTAAGCAACCCTTGTAATCATAATTCTAATTATATTGACATATTTACTTATATGTTAATGATTATAATAAGAATGAACATCTTCCTGTAGCGACAAATAATAACGAAGACTCCACCCGCCACGCCTTTACAAGAGTAAGATCGAACTCAAAATGGAATCCTGCAGTTACATCTAAACTGGAACTACCCAACCAACTTTTCCCAGTCTTGACGAAATTTAAAAAAAAATCTTAGCTGATGTTGTAAGCGATAAATTATGTTCCACTCTGCAACCCGTTTCCGAGAGATGAAACGCCGCAAGGCTCTTGCTACTCGATCGCTATATCCATGGCAAGTGTTCTGACGAGCTACATTCCTTAGTTCCATCAGTTACGACTTTTACAGCTAACACCCACTACGCCATAGGCACAGGGGCAAACCATCCACATTCCCTTCGTATTCTATTGGTACGAAGGAAGTTCTATTCTGTCAGGTTCTCCCCAAGGAACGCGAATTTATGCAACAGACTCCCGAAAGTATGCATCAACGAACACTGCAATCTTAACATTTTGAATGGGGGGGGGTCAAACTATCGTACGCATCGTCATAATTGCATTTTCTTCCTATTTTTTCTTTCCTAAGTCCATAGAACAACGTCATTTAGCTTGGTTTAATTTGTTTTACGGCCTATCAAAGTCAATTATTTAATGCCGACAACATTTTAAAGATAGATTCGTATGAATAGAATATGTATTCTTTGGTTTAGATTGGTTTGGTTTATTTTCTTTTACGGCATATCAACCTCAATGGGTTTTTTAATGCCGACAACATTTTTAGGATAGATTTGTATGAATAGAATATGTATTCTTTGATTTAGATTGGTTTGATTTATTTTGTTTTACGGCCTATCAAACTCAATGGGTTATTTAATGCCGACAACATTTTTAAGATAGATTTGTATGAATAGAATATGTATTCTTTGTAAAAAAATTCAGTTTCTAAATCATGTTTCACTGTATTTTTGTAAAGAGGTTTTTTTTTGTCGAGAGTCAAATGAATGCTGGTAAATTTTTTTCTCAAATGTATTGCTGATATTTTTACTGTATACATTTATAGTGTTTGAACCCCACGTTAGGTGTTAAATATTTGCCCATAGCTGGGATTCTAGCAAATGTTACCACTCCGGGTCAGGGTGAACTTGGGGACACCAGCAATTAACAGGTGGTCCCACGTTCCTCAAAACCTCCCCGACCAGAGGTTTTGCTGCTGGATGTAGTTTATCATCATAACCAGGACGCATCATTTAATGACATTTTATTTTGGGTGGCGCTCGGGCCTTATATTGGTTGAACGTTTAGTAAAGAAAAAAGAAAGTGTTGATTGTCGGAGTGGAAGAACAAGGAGAAATAGACAATAGAAAAAAAAAGTCTTCTGTCAAAAGAGAATCAAATTCGCCGAAAAAGTTGAATAGGATCCACTTTTATGCCTGGGATCATTTGTCGCGTTGGAATAATATCTATCTATCTATCTATCTATCTATCTATCTATCTATCTATCTATCTATCTATTCATACTTGTCTGTCTGTCTGTCTGTCTGTCTGTTGATTATCTATCTATCTATCTATCTGTTCATATCTATCTATCTATCTATCTATCTATCTATCTATCTATCTATCTATCTATCTATTCATACCTGTCTGTCTGTCTGTCTGTTGATTATCTATCTATCTATCTATCTATCTATCTATCTATCTATCTATCTATCTATCTATCTATCTGTTCATATCTATCTATCTATCTATCTATCTATCTATCTATCTATCTATCTATCTATCTATTCATACCTGTCTGTCTGTCTGTTGATTATCTATCTATCTATCTATCTGTTCATATCTATCTATCTATCTATCTATCTATCTATCTATCTATCTATCTATCTATCTATCTATCTATCAAATTAGGATCGGTATGAAGATTTGGGCGGTGTTTATTTCGCGTTTTTTTTTTTTTTTTGTTTTTTCAAGTACTGAATTGAAATCTAAAATATATAAGGAAAAAAGAAGAAGACATGTAGACGAAGAATGGAGAGGAGAAAAAGAAAAAGAAAAGAAAAATGATGATGAAATAAATCCTGATGGTGAAAGAGTAAAATGAATGATGAAAATGAAAGATCAAAGAAAAAGAATAACAACAAAAGAAGAAGAAGAAGAAGAAAATATAGAACCAAAATGGGAAAAAGATAAAAATGAAGAAGGCGTAGAAGAAAGAAAATGAAGAAGAACAAAGAAAATATAAAAAAGACGAAGAAAGCAAAGATGACAAAGTGGAAAGGAAAATATTACGAAGAAAAATATGTAAAAGAAAAAGAGGATGGAAAGAAAAAGAAAACAAAAAGACTGAGAAAGAAGGAAAGAAAAAAGAAAGACAAAAAAAAGAGAATGAAAAGAAGAAATCTCAAAAGAAGATGAATGAGGAAACAAAGACATGCAAATTAATATTTTCAATTATATTAATTAAAATGACGGGCTAATGAATGAACATTGATAACCTTGAGAACAACAACAGCAGCAACAACAACAACACCAATAATCATAATAATAATAATAATAATAATAATAATAATAATAATAATAAGGGCCGTGGGAATGTCTACTGATTTTAAAATCAAAGGAGTCGGCAAATACTGAGAAAGGAAGTTTTTTTTAAGATTCAAGTAAAAATATCGTCACCATAATCGAAAGATTCACACACTGTACGCATACATTGAAACAGATATATAGATATGTACTGACACTCGCTAAAGTTACATACACACGCAGAAACCCTAATGTCTGGGCTGGTATGAACCTGACTTCAAAAGGGTTGCTATTAAATTATTCTTAGGTCTAAAGAAGAAATTTACGGGAAATTTGCGAGAAATGTTGCCTCTAAAGTTAAACTGTGGCCATTGTTTTTCTTTGTTCCTTCCTTCTTTCTTTCTTTCTTTTGCCCTTTTTTTACGTCTCATGAATTATTTCTTTTTCTTTCTTTCTTTTATCCCGATTCGTCCCACTATCATTTCTTCTTTCTTTTCTTCTTTCCATCCTACCTTACATCCATGCCGCCTCTCTTTCTTCCCGCTTTCTTTCATTGACATCTCTTCTTTCCTTACGTCCCTTCTTACATCTATCCCTCTTCCATTCTTTCTTTCTTTCATTTTCCCATCTTTTTTTACCTTTATTATCTCCGTTCTTTCTTTCTTTCTTTCTTTCTTTCTTTCTTTCTTTCTTTCTTTCTTTCTTTTCCTTGGCGATTTGCTTTATTTCTTTGTTTCTTCAATCCTCCTTCACTCAGTTTTTCTTTCATTCATTATTCTCTTTTTCTTCTTTCTTTCTTTTTTTAATTTTCTTCCTTCCATTTCTCCCTCCTCACTTCCTATGTCATTCTTTATTTTTAATCATTCTCTTAGTCCTTTCTTCGTTCCTTCTTTATTTCCTTGTTTCTTTCCTTCTTATTTTTCCTCCCTTCTTTGTATCATTTTTCTAGCCTCGTGTCTTCATTGCTTTCTTTCCTTCTTTCATTCCTTGCTTCTTTCTTTCATGCTTCTTTCTTTCTTCTCTCTTTCATTGTTTTCTTAATTTTCCTCTCAATCTCTCTTTGCCTTTTACCTGCCTCCTCTCTTTGTCCCTTCCTTCTATCATTTCTAACTTCTTTCTTTCTTTCTTTCTTTCTTTCTTTCTTTCTTTCTTCTCTCTTTGCTAACCTCTTTCATTTTTTAACCTTTCCATTCTTCCCCTCTTCTTTTCTTTATAATTATATTATTTATTCCTTCTCTTGTTTTCTTTTTTCCGGATTTATTTCATTCATTTCTTCTTTCTTACCCTTCACTTTTTGCACCAATCTTTCTTTCTTTCTTTCTTTCTTTCTTTCTTTCTTTCTTTCTTTCTTTCTCGTAACCTTTTCTTTTATTAAGTCCTATTCTATTTTTCTTTCTTTCTCATAACATTTTCTTTTTCTTATTCTTTCTTTCTTTCTTTAAAATTTCTCTTCTTTTTTTCTTTTTCTTATTCTTTCTTTCCCTCTCGTAATGTTTTCTTTTATTACGTCTTCTTGTATTTCTTTCTTTTAGTTTTCTTCTTTTCAGTTTTTTCTTTTCTCTTTTTCTTTTTCTTATTCGTTTTTTTTCTTTTTTTATTTCTTTTTTCTTTTTCTTAGCCATTTTCCATTTTTTTTTACTTCGCCCTATTACTTTTCTTTCGTTTTTTCTTTCTTTCTATTCTTTCTAGTAATCTTTTATTAAGTCTTATCGTATGTCTTTCTTTCTTTGTTTTTTCTTTCTTTTCATTTTCTCTTCTTTCTTTCTTTATTTTATTAATTAATCGTTATTTTTAGTGGATACTCATATTTGAGTATCCACCCTTTATTTATTAAACAGTATATTTATTTCTTTTCGACAACCGCCCTGACTATTCGAGAAATCTTATTAAACAAAATACGCACTCCCCGGCAGGATATTTTTCTTTATTTAGATTTCTCAAATATTCAGTCCAGTCGATTCAAATAAATAAATATACAGTTTAATAAATAAACGGAACGTCTACTCAAATATGGGCATCCACTAAAAAATAACATTTAAACTTTAAAAGTGATAAAATCTGTCGGATTAATAAATAAAAATTAATTGCAGGTTGTTGTCGACTTACGACCACGATTAGTCGGTCGTAAATCGATCTGGTTTGTAATTATTTTTGCAATTTTTTCTTTAGCCCTGAGAGTAGGTTTTTTTTTTTATATGCTTTATGGTTTCTTTACGTTTGATGCCATTTTACTCATCCTTCTACAGATTGTTTTGTCGTGCTTTTTTATTTTTACGTTCACCAGGTTTAATTCAAACACTGCATACTATAGTACACAGATGGTTTTGAAACGAACTCGGGAAGGAGGAAAACTGTCGTGCAGAGGCAGCCCTAACTCTGAGCTTTGAGGCACGCTGGAATGAAAATTGTCCTAGCCAAAGTTGAGAAGCACTCACAATACAAGACGCGGAGCAGTGGTGCCCAGACGGCCAAACACAACAATTCGCGGTCGTAGTCGTAAAGATTTCTGAGGCCAAGAAAATCACAATGTCTGGCAAAACTTCAAGGGCAACGGCGAATGAAGTGGACTAAGAACACAAGATGACATATGAAAAATATCACATGGCATGCCGTCGACTACATCAGACCTTAATTTGACCTGATCAATAGTACAGTTGCGGCAAAATTTTAGAACATTCTCTGGAACCTATCACGTGACTTATATTGCTTATATAAACAACAAACAATTAAGAAACAAAAGAAGTAGGGGGGGAATCAGTCGTAAAAGCAACACGCTACACTCATCAGAAAATAACTTTCAACTGAAGTCTAGACTATAAGTTAAAAATCCTTTTTAACATAATCAGTCTATTTCCTTCATTCAATGCAAGCTAAATTCATGTCGGCAAACAACGAAACGACAGACACTCTAGCGTCAAACACAACGTAATTCACATTCACATACGCTTTTTCCACGAGCTTCGAGCTGTTTATTTTGAATACAAACAATATTACACTGAACTGATTTTTTCTAAAATCAAACGAATTACCTTACAACTTGCAGTCTATCAAACTGGAACATTACCCGACACAAAAATCTAAAAAGACAAGCTTATTTCACTGTTTTAAACAACATTCATAACCATTGTTTTGTACATTTGTTATATAAAAATCTATGTATTTGTACAATTTCTCTTGTCTGAATTTTCTTGTTTCTTCTTTTTGATATATTTTGTGGCATTGTGTCTAATATAAATTCGTGAGGGCAATTGACTCCCACAATAGTAAAATGACCAACAATACATATTTAAAGTAAAATAACCAACAATGCATTTTATCCGCCGTTGAAGGCATAGAATTGTGCTCAAAATATGTAGATTTCAGCATTAAATAACCCATAGAGGCGTTGATATGCCACTAAACAAAATCAACCAACCGTATTCAGTTGGATGGAAGTACAATGGTTTAGGCACAGCTTTTAGGGTTCTTTCAAAAACATCGATCGCCTTGATCAGCAGACGGATTAATGCTTTCATATATCAAAATCTTTTTTTTCTAATGTCTTGCTTCTTTATGCATAAGATATTACTGATGCCAACTGAAGTTCCAACCAAGCAATATCCCAATAAATCGGATACAAAGAACAACACAATGATTTCAGATAGTCGGTTATCATGGGTAAGACGATAAAGTACATTCGCGTCCTGGTTAAGACGATAAACTACATCCGCGTCCTGAGTAAGACGATAAGCTACATCCGCGTCCTGGGTAAGACGATAAACTATATCCGCGTCCTGGGTAAGACGATAAACTACGTCTGCGTCCTGAGTATGACGATAAACTAGGTCCGAGTTCTGGGTAAGAAGATAAACTACGTCCGCGACCTGGTTAAGACGATAAGCTACGTCTGCGTCCTGGGTAAGACGGTAAACTACGTCCGCGTCCTGGGTATCACGATAAACTACATCCGCGTCCTGGGTAAGACGATAACTACGTTCGACAGCAGGAGGTTTTGAGGAACATGAACCCACCTCTTAATTACTAGTGTTCTCAATTCCACCCTCACCCGGGATACTAGTCCCAGCTATAAGGAAATAGTTAACCCCCAAACTGGGGTCAAAACACTATGAAAGTGTAAAAATAGGTTTTAATACCAGAAATAATTTCTAAAAAAATTATCACCAGTAATAAATTTTTTAAGAAAAAAAAACACATTACCAGTAATAAAGTTTTGAAAAAAATATTACCAGCAATACATTTAAAAAATATTATCAGCTATATACTTTTGAATATATATATATATGTATGTATATATACATTCTTGAAAAAAATATATACATATTACCAGCTATACATTTTTTGAAAAAATAATACCAGAAATAAATCTTTGAAGGAAAAATATTAGCAACAATACTGCTTTGAAGGAAAAAATATTACCAGCAATAAAAATTTTGTTGGCATTAAATAACCCATTCAGGTTGAAACAAACCAAACCAAACCAAACCAAATCTAACCAAACCAAACCATCAGTTTGTCGGTTTATTATTTTTCTACGGCTTATCAACTCATTGCAGGTTATTTAAAGCCAGAAAATATTTTTACATTGTAAGAATTATTTTTAAGAGAATAATCATTTAGTGATAAGAGTCTTACTAATTAACCCATAGTTAAGGAGAGAAGACCTTTTCCCAAGAATATTTGTGTATAAGTGAATATAACGAACCCAACTGGAATCGAAACTCGGCTGTCCGATTAACAATTCCCAGTCATTATCCATTACACCACCCACACATCCAAGCTTACAGCACTTTGAATTCCTATTTAGGTATTGACCAAGATCAACATTGCTTAACTTCGATGTCGTACGGGAACCGGTGCTTCAACGGGGTGGCCGTTAGCCAAAGATTCCAGGACCTCCTCAATGTCCACCTGACTACAAGTCAAATATCAAGGGAAGCTAAACACAATACTGGTAAAATTTTCTTTTTTTCGCACTTCTTACCTGTGGAATTCTCTCTTGGTTTCTTTCTTTCCTGCCACCCACACTCTTCCGAAATTTAAAGGCAACGTAAATAGTCATCTTCTCTCTTCCTGTACTCTGTTCTTTTATTGTCCTTTCTTCTCACTAAAGTTTTCTCATTCACTTTCCCTCCCCTGCGTCTTAGTGGCTTCATCGCCTTTCTCGGAGTGAAATCATTAAAAAAAAACAAAAAACAAAACAATGACAATCTTAACCTTTTCGAGTTTAGGGTCAATCAATATCTATCCCACATATTGTCATATTTTTACTACAACCTTTCTCCTCTATTACGCCCTTACAACAATCTCATTCAGTAACATGAATGGCTCTTGGGCTTTGTATAAGGTGAAATAAAGTAAAAAAAATAAGAACCCTGACGTTATGTAGTCGTCAGCACATTTGCCTGACCTTAATCCCATTAAAAACCTGAGGTATACTTGCGTGTATGTGTATGATGATGGGTGTCAATAACATTGAATCTAAACATTGACAAAGCTTATACAGCATGCAAGGAAGTTGCTTTGGTAGATAATTATCGGTGCGACTACAGTATGATATCTACCGAGGTATTTGCGACCTGCCGTAAATGACAATGCACTCATTATTGGTGGAAAACGCTCAAGAAAAATGATGACCTGTTTACTGTTTTTTTTTTTTTTAAATGACATCAAATCAGTTTACAAACATTAAAATCACTATTTGATGATTTCTTAATCTTTTTGTATGAAAAATTGTTAATGATTTTGAATACATAAGCAGTTCAAAAAACATGAAAAAACTTTCATGATATTAATCGATATAATATCCTACACACATACTAACAATTTGTAGCGATTTCATCGAAATCCGTTTAAAATACAAACAAAAAACATGAAAAAACTTTCATGATATTAATCGATATAATATTCTACAATTTCTTAAATTGTATTCCAAAATATAACTTCAATAATGCTACAACATAAAACACACATATCACCGCCTCTAGTAATTATGTCCACATAAACATGTATACGCACAAAAGTTGAGTATCATCTACCATGTGATCAATTGTGAAAGCAGAATAACATATATATTTATTACTTCAAAGCTCCCAAGAAAATTAAATTTCGGCATTAAATGATCTATAATGGAGTTGATATGTCGTTAAATAAACCAATCAATCAATCTCTTTCGATTAATGACTGACAATGCAGAATATTTTCTAGAAGTAGATTGCCGTATCTTTCTGCAGTAGGCTGGTTGCCAACCAAGGCTATAGGACAGAGTTTGTCCTGCTATTTAACCCATAGCAGGAGGGAGAAGAGATGGATTCATATATTTGTTTGTAAGCGAATGTAACGAACCCAAATGGAATTTGAACTGGACTCCCTGATTTGTCATTCCGAGTGGCGGGCGGGGGGGGGGAGT